TATCACCAACATCATTAGGTGAATATTGCTTATCAACATCTAATATTATACATGAGTCGAAGAAAAATGGTGATAAGAACATGTCAAATCTGAAGCACAAACGACGTAAACATTCTCACGAGGAAACATTATCAACGACATTGTTACACCTATCTGACAATACAGATCGTGAATCCAATGACAGTGAAAATGAACTACCCGTTATTGATGAATCTCGTGGTCATACAAATCAATTATCAACAACTGCAACACCTACATTTGCTGGTCATTGTGTTGTAGAAAACAATAAGAAGTCTAAAAAGAAACCAGCCGAATCATCATCTTCAGGTGTGCAGCAACTATTGGCTTTCATGACTAAACTTGAGTCTCAATATTTGAGACCTCTTCTTGCTGGACAAGCACGGATCGAAGCAATAACAAAATGCTTGTTTGATAATCAAAAAAAGATTCAAAACGTCTTAAGGAAACAAAAGGTAATTGATGATTTATTTGATGATTCTTACTTTATTTGTCTGTCTTAGATGAACATTGCATTACTTGAAATGGATGACAAAGATGAATCGACCAACAATCAAACTTTTCTATCTTCTCTGGTATGATATCTCTGCTGTAATATATGCACAGAAAGTATTCAATTTGAAGTTTTCTCTTATTTAGGAATACAAATTACCTGATGGTATTGTTATTGATTTACTTCAAAAAAATGGCATTAAAGAACATGCTAATCGTTATGTAACATCTCTCATGCATGTACTTTTTAAGCCCGAAGAATTATTGGCTATGGAAACAAAAGATATACCAAAAGATGAACGATATATTATGCTGAAAGGTTTGTAAATACTTATTTGTCAATTTTTATGTTGACTACCAATGTTTTTCAGAAGCAGTTCGAAATAAATTTCGACTAACGAAGGAAGAACTTGAAACTATGTGGGCTTGGCTTCATACTGTCATGTTGGCTAAACGTTGAACAATTGCTGGAAAGAGAAAAAGAAGTGAATCAATTAATCAAAAAATCAATAATTAACTTATTATATATATATATATCATTTGTAAATTTCTTCAATTGTATATGTAGAACAAGTGAGCTTTAATTAGCATTTATTTTTACTCGAATATTTGAGTTAATGTTTATTTCTTTTCTTTCTAAATGTTCTAACGAATATTTACCATAACGAACTTTTTTCTTTTATCTATCTACATTTTTTTATTTGAACGTGTATATAACTCGTGTAGTTTTTTGTATTAATTGTTTCATAGAAAACGATTTTCTCGAAAACTTGGTGTATCGTGTATTTATTATGAAACATGTAATAAATAAAAAAAGAACAAATGATACCGATCTAGTTCGCTATTTTGGTCCAATACCATGCTATCTCTTTTCTAAGAACTGCGACGCAGTTACGGCGTAACTGCGTCGCATTTCGATCGTAGTGGAAAACATGGGTTATACTGTGATGTATTGCAACACGAATTGAAACAATCCATTGGAAAAATTCCAAAGAAAAATAAAATAATCTTTCAGCAGCACTTGGCTACCTGGCACATCTCCAAAATTGTTAAAGAAAATATTCGTCGAATGAAGCTGAATATAGTTAACTGGGCTCCAAAGAGCTCAGATTTAAATCCAATTGAAATGCTTTGGTCGATTATCGATAAAAAACTAGCTGCAAAACCAATTTATTCAAAGACGGCTTTAAAAGAACGTTTACAAGAAGAATGGAACAATATCGATCGAGATTTATGCATCAAATTGGTCGAATCGATGCCGGAATGTCTTCAAAACTGTCTAGCAGCAAAAGGTGGACACCTTTTATGAAACTAAAATGTTTCTTTTTGTAGACAAAAATTGTACTTTTTCAAGATTTTTTGAAATAAACAAATATTTGAAAAAATGCCTTAAACTTTTGATCACATGGAAAAAAGAATTTTTTTTCCAAATAAATGAAAATACTTTTCTTCAAAGTTCTAAGCATATTATTCCTATGGCCTATTGTGAAAGTTATCAAGATAGTTATATAGATGTCGCTATCAAATACCTTTTGATGTAGTAAATAGAAAAACAAAAAGTGCATTAAACTTTTGATTCCCACTTTATGTTGAAAATACGATTGTTTGCAA